TCCCTCTCTCCCTCCCTCCTCTCTCTCTCTCACTCTCTCACACGTGTCGGGACGACGCGCCGCCCCTAATGCATGTAATCTCATTTACGCATTCATGAGCAGGCGGCGGCTGCTGCTGCTGCTGCAGGAAAAACAAGCGGTGGGAGACAAATTGCCAGCGGGGGCCGCCACCGGCGCTGCGCCCCGCCCCGCCACGTCCTACCACGATGATACGTGTGTGTTTTGGCGCGAGTGTTATTAGAGGGCGGGTGCAAGCCGTGCGGCCGGAGGGACAGGATGGTCCGCGGAGGGTAGGGGAGGGGAGGGCGGGAGGGTTGCCGACCACACCTTGGGCGCGGTAGAGTGCGCGAGTACGCATACGACGTACACGAAGCGAGCGTATGGCTTTGGTTTGTTGGCGGTGCGTCGTCGGTCCCGTCCCCTCCCCATCCTCTTATTCGATCTGTGACTTTGCGGGATCGGGTGTCGCCAGCTGGGCGCGGCACGGGCGCTGCGCAGACTCGCGCCTGCTGCACTGCCCGGCCCGGCCCGCACCCCTCGCTGCTCGCACACAGCACTTGAATAAGTTGGGTTCCATTCGCACTGCTTATTCCCACCCGACCGTCACATCCGTTCGCCCCTCCTCCTCCTCCTTGCCGCGGTTTGGCCGTGGTCACTCGTCGCGCACACTACTTGCCGCTGCTTTACTGACCCGCAGTGCAGGCGAGCGACGGGGTTGCCTAACCCGCACGGGGCCGGCAGCGGAACCACACAACTCGCGCCGGATACAGCGAAAGAGCCAGAAGGTGGCGGCGTTCACTCCTTGTTGGAGTGACCCGTAGGCGCCGCGTCAAAAATAAAAGAGGCTCGTTTCGTAAATGCCCATAAAAGAGTTAGGAGGCGTTGCATATGTCTGCCGGCAGTGTACCCGAGACCGCGGCCCAGGCTCTCTAGGAACAACGCCGGCCGTGGGTTCCCAATCAGCACACCGGGCCGAGGAAACGATAAACCCACCTCCTCCTCCTCCTCCTCCTCCGCCTCCTCCTCCTCATCTTCCACCCCCCCCCCTCGTCGTCCTCGTCGTCCTCGTCATGGGGCTTTGGCGTGGTGGTGGTCGTGGTGGTGGGCGGGGCCCCCCCCCCCTTCCCTTTATCCTTTTCTCTTTCCCATGTAGACCAGTCATCATCTAACGAGAC